ACCTCTTATAGACAGAGGCAACGCCTTGCACGTATTTGCTGCTTTATTGTAAGAGCAAGACTGAGTCCATTGTTAGACTCAGCAGGGTTTCAGTGTCCATCGTTGATGGCCTTACTCAGCAGGGGTTTCGCCAGTCCATGGAGTAAGGCCTTCGATGTATTCTTCCCTATCTTCTTATCTACAATTGGACATCATGAGGCCTCGAGGCTTCGCCTTATCAGAGCCTCCTCGATTGAGTCCATTGTTAGTAAGGCCTTTGGTGCATTCCTGGCCATCTTCTTGTCTACAACTGGAATGTTTTGAGACACCACGAGTCATTGGAGATGGTGAACTTGCAGTCTCTGCAAAACTGCATGAAATGACTAGTCCTCCACAAGCTGATGATTGAAAACTTAAATAAATTAGGTATTTAAATGATCAGCACCTAATATCTAATAACTTCCTGGACCTACCATTCAGGAGATATCTGTGCTGAGGAATCACGGGATAATCTCTCTAGATAGCTCTCTCCTCGCCTTTTTTCTTCTTTATTATCTTAAACTCATGCGTGTGCTATACTCTGTGCTTCCAGTGTATTTGGTTATCTGTCCTTGCACTTGATGGTTGCTAGCTAAGAAAAAAAGAAGTAACATCCTGGCACTAGAACGATGAAGACACATAATGTCTAATAGCAAGTTATTAGTGCTGGAGTATAGTGGTCATTGCCTGTCTGATTTGTGATTGTAGTTGTATTTTACAGTGAAACTGTAAATTAAAAAACCTTGTAGTTTCTATATATATACACATACATATATATGCATACTATATATATACACATTGAGTTAAAAAAAAATATTTTCTAAAGGCACAGAAAGCTGTAGGCGACACTTTTAAAAGAACTTTAGAAACTGAGCTTCTCCAGAAGCTGAGCTGTGACTGTAACAATGTGGCTTGCTTGGTGTGTTAAAAATCATGAGCTTATTTCAGTGCTTAGTGGGAAGTTGAGATCTTCTGAAAAGCTGATGCCAGTTCTGTGGTCTGACTCTTCTGCTGGTTTTTTTAATCTGGCTCTAACTAGCAATGCCTAATTATCTTTATTTAAAAAAAAAAAAAAAAAAAAAAAAAAAGAAAATTAAAAAAAGAGAGGGATGGGAGCTTTCAGCATTAATCTGTAATCAAAACTGGAACATGCCCCAAATGGCTGGAGAAAAGGCCCATCCTGGAGAGACTTCAAGCTTGATGGGACATTCCCATGTACTGAGGAGAGAAATCTTGCTTTGAGAGGGAGATGCACCACAGGAGGTAACAAAACTCTTCAATATCCATGGCTTGTTTAGATCCTTGGAAACTCCTTGTACAGCTGGAAATCTTTTCATATTGCTCTACCCAATAGTTGTGTGATGACTTGGGTAAGAAATTTTCAGAGGAAGGTCAAGCTGAGAAGGTCAGCACTTGAGAGCTAGGCTAAGCCATGAAAGAGGTGATGTGTGTGCAGAGACACGTATGAAGAGGGGAAGCTGAAGGCCGTGCTAAACGTCACTTGAAAAAACAGGCATTTAGTGGATACTTTTCAGTGTCTGAACTGTGGCCCATCCAATCCTGTTTGCCATCTGTCATATGTCCTGTGTCTGCTTTTTCAAATGGAGATGCTGTAGGCTACGTGAGAGAGAATTTTTGACTTTCTCCTCATTCTCTAAAGCCTGGGTCACCAAGCATGAAGCTTGCCACACCTTCCACACTTCCCTTCGATGCTGGTATGAGATGGGTGTTCTTCTTCCATGTAATTGTCCAGTCCATGCTTTTAACTCAGTTCTTCCACACAGCATTGTCTGGGGGAAGCCCATTCCCTGGGCTGGTTTCAGAGTGTGTGTATATGTGAAAACACTTGCTTCTATTGATTTTTAAATCTACCTTTTCTAGTGTAGGGCTGACTTAGCCCCACCGTTTGTTGAAATAAGGTAGCAGTAGTACTGAGAAGCAAATATATATCCCATAACGTCGTATTTTTTCCTATATGCTGTATATCCACTGATTTGCTTCTGCAAAGGGAAAAATCTCTCCTGATTGACCCTTCAGCTCTCTGATCAGCAGTGTACGGTTGTTAATGTGTGCTCTGCATCCCTCTGGGATGTGAGCTCCCATCCAGAGTCAGTTGGCAGTGCCAGTGGCAATTCTGCTTAAGGGTAGGCAAGTGGAGCTATGTGGCAGATCCTGCAAAGCGCAGTTTGGAGGGGAGAAATTTCATGGAAAATATCTCGCTGTTTCTGTAATAAAAACTCTGCTTATTCGGGAAATTGATGTCTGGCTACACACCCTGTTTTGAGTCCTGGGGAGTGTTTTTACCTTATCTAAAAGACCTTAAGTAATCTGGCTTTGTAAATCAAATTGAAGCAAGTAATGAACTGTGTGTTGCAGTTTGAATGAATCCGCCCTGGAGAATCACCACCACTTGGAAAACGATGCTTTTTCGGACAAGTCTGAGAGAGACAATGTAGAAGAGTCAGAGAATGAAACGCATGAGAACAGCCGGAAGACAAATGAAAGCGAGAGCGATCAGTCAGAAATCCATGGAGAGGTCTCTCTGGGAAGGAAAGGGACAACTTATATTGAACAGATCTATGAGGAATTTGGGGAGGTAAAAGAAAAAAATATTTTAATCACTGTCTGTTTCTGTTAAAATGTCTCTGTTTATAGTACTTGTCATTCAGCCTTTTAGATGTATGGCAGTTAGGAACCAGCTTTTTGAGTTCCAGTGTTTTACAGATAGAGCAATGCACAGCTTTCTGCTAAATTATGTTGAATTATCATGTGCTCTAATAATTATGTGTTATGAACAGCAGCTCTGCTACTGTGCTTTGGTGTGTTTCCAGCATCAGTGATTGCTTTAACCAGTTATTGCATTAAAGAGCTGCGTAGCATTGGCACAGTGCTTTGTGGAACCAGCAGGGGGGGAATTATTATTCTGGGCATGTGTCCTGGCCAATTAGGATGCTCAGTCCTTGTGTGATACAAAATACGATACTTTCCTTTTTTCATTATGCATGGAACATCCTTTTTGTGTGTCTTAATGGAACATTTGAGCCACTTGATTCCTAAATGACAGTTTCTTGTAGAAAAGCCATTTCTCATGTCATTTAACAGCAGGAGGATGCTTTTCTGTTCCGTGTAAGAGCCTTTGTTGGCTGGATGTCACTGTGACACCTCTGAGGAAGGCAGCAGTAGAGTGTGTTGGGTGAGAATCAATCTAGCAGAGGAGCTCTGCTCCAGGCTGGGAGGGCTCTGAGCACTCCCTTGCCTATTGCTTCGAAGAAGGAAGCTGAAGTTTTGTTGGCGCTTCAAAGAAAACCTCTTTGCTAGAAAGCTGTTTCTTTCTTACATGTGTTTGCTGCCATTTCAGATGTCAGGTGTGAGGTGCAAGGCCCTGCTGTAGAAATTGTGTTTGCAAACAGAATTGTTGCCTACAGAAACAAAAAACCCACAAACTCCCCTTTTGTGCACCTCTCTCCTCAAATCCCACACCAGACACACAGCAAATGATAACTGGGTCCAAACAGGAGATTTTTAATATAGCTGAGCAACTGAGCAACAGCAAAATGAAGGCAAACTTAATTTCTATCAGCTGCTTATTCCGAAATGGCTTTTTGCCACATGGCAAACTTGTGCTAGAAGTATTGGTACGGCAGGGTGATACTTTGGTGTTTGAATGAGCCTTACAGGAGCACTGATGCATCTGTGGGTGCGTGAGAGTGAGATCCCTGCAATTTTACATTAAAATAAAAAAAATGCACTACAAACGAAATGGAGAGGACTCAGTTTCTGCTGTAGAGTGACACTCTGTGTAGCGTAAAATAAGGCTAACCATAGTGTGGCTGCTCAGGCAGAGGCAGCATCCAGCGGGCTTTCAGAAAGAATCGCCATGTAGCCTTGGCCATTAGATGTTACGTTAGATTTCTGTCATTGGCCAAGAGATGGGGCTGTTGTCATGTGGCACGCACAAATGGGACTGGTTGGTGAGTCTTATCCCACTGGTGACAGTAACATAAGGAACAGTAGGTTGTATGCAGTGATGTAGTTTGCTGTGAGCAATGGGCGGAGGTTTATCAAGGTAAACACATGCCAACTAATAACATTAACTGTCATCTTAAACTGAAACTGCTGTCCCTCAGTCTATGTGGACAGTTCAGATTTGTCAGGACGAAGGTCACAAATGCAAACTGTCACTGGTAAATTTTCAGCTTGGCTTTGAAAGCTCATTTGAATGGTGTGCATGTCTGTATGTGCATCTGTATGTGTTTGAAAGGCGCATGGTTGTGCATCTGACATTCCAGCTTTGCCTTGTTTGCAGTAGTAATGAGAAGGCAGAGACAGGTGTCAGGAGGACTTTGAGATTGCAAAAGTTGGTCTAGAATGCAAAAAAGACACCTCCTTAGTGGGAAGATTGATAACCAAAAAACCCTTTTTTTCCCAAGCATTTGAACAAGTTATGAAAAAGGTTATTGAGGGTGATGTATTTGAGGGGAAAGCAAAACAGAAATGACTTGAAGTTGTTTTCATCCTCATGCACCTTCTTTTCCTTCCCTTTTGATCTATCCCTTCTGCAAAAACTCATTCTGAGTAACACTTTGTACAGCAGTTTCAACATGGCATTAATTTGTGTTGCCAGTACACCCACACTTGAGAACCTGGATAAATAATGAAAGCTCTGACAGACCCATATGGTATTGTCAGCCCCAGCTGATGCTGTACTTTTACGTTCTTTAATCGTTCCCATTTCTTCTTGGAGGTTCAAGCTGTGTATTGCATCAGACTGGCACAAGAAGAATGGTATGATAATGGAAAAGCAATTTAATGAAAAGAGCTTTGTTGTTCTTCAATCTGAAATTCCCTTCAGTCTGCAAGCTGGACTTAGTGTGTTTTCCGTGACTAGTAAAAGGGCTGATTGGGAGCCAAAAAGGTGGCACTGGGGATGCTCAGGTGGTGAAAATGAGTGGATTTACACAATCTGCAAACACTCTTGGGATATGCTTGGTGTCCTCCCCCAAACCAAAGTGCCTTCCAGAAGTGGATCTGTGCCCTTTTTCTCATAGAACTCTCATGCCGAAAAACAGTAGAAAGCCTAAGTTTTCTTTTTCATTGTTAAGTTATGATGCATAGGATGCATTAAAATGACATTAATGTTTGAAAATTTAGTTTTACTTTTCTTTCTGCAGGGGCTCGAAAGGCCCATTTCCCCATGTTAAACCTCATGTAGCCCCACAGAATGCAGAGGAACTATAGTTATAGCTGAAATCACGACACATCCCTGGATTTTTTACCATTACGTGCACTTCTGCTGCAAAGGGCGCTGAGCAGCTTTGGGGGGTGCTGTAGTTTTTGTGCATGTCACCTGGCAGTGGGGCCTTTACCACACCTACACTGCCAGTGTGTCTTATTTTGAACTTGGAGGACTGCTTCTGCTTCCATTCTTTGTTGATTACTCGTTTATCTCCTAAATTTTTCTACCCATAGTAGTAAATCTTGCAGTTTCTCATTTGCTGAGAATGGGACTGAGAGGAGCTTCTTGTATGGATCCCCCCAGGCTACAGTGATGCTGTGACCGCTGTGGGCATGTCCACACCTCCCAAGGGACTGCAATGCGGTGTCCCCTTGGTTAATGTTGGCCCAGGTTAGCCCATCGCAGCCCTGAGGTGTGTGGAGGCAATGGCTCCAGAAGGAGCACAGCAGAGGTGTGCTCCCTGGCTTGTGCCAGCTCTTGCAGCAGCCCAGGGCTTTCTGTACCACTCACTTTAGCGCTTTGGGGATTCACTTCTCCTGAGACAGAGCTGATGTCTCTTTGCAGTGTAGCTGAGCATTCACCCCTGTGCCAGGGCTGGGTATGCCCGGGTGAGCTTGGACCCCCTGGTAAATGCACCTGCAGGAGATGGTTTTCCTCTTTCTGCCCTGAACTTCCCTTTTTCCACCATAGACAGGTGAATCGTCTCAAACAGAAACCGTCTCTGAGGAGAACAAGAGCCTGATGTGGATACTGCTGAAGCAGCTGCGCCCTGGCATGGACCTGTCACGGGTGGTGCTGCCCACCTTCATCCTGGAACCACGCTCCTTCCTTAACAAACTCTCCGATTACTACTACCATGCTGACCTGCTTTCTCAGTAAGCAGTGCACAGAGCGTGCCCGAAGTGGGCACTTTCCTTATATTTGAGAAAATGTGTTACACTGTTAGATTGGTGCTGTCTGGGGTGTGTTTGTGTGCTTCAAAGGCTCCCAAACAATACCCAGGTCACTGGATTCAACATAAATCAAGCCTGGAACTAGCTGCAGTGACCTTTTAAAGATGGACTGCTGCCAGTGAGGGGCAAGGAAACAAGCAAAACAGTTAAACTTCAGACAAAACTGCCTTCGTACATGCACGTTTGCCAGTATTGGCAGAACTGCTGGGGATTCAGCTCCTACCTCTGAGCATCTCACAACAGAGCTGTGCCACCTCCTGGTGTGCTTGTGTACAGAAAGAAATGGGACAGAGCAAACAGAATTGTCAAGCACTTCTCTCCCCAGAAGCAATATGATTATGTTGGTTGATAAATAAGAAACATTTTTTAACACCATTGATGAGAGAGACTTGCTGGGAGCAGCAGAGTAGAAAATAGAAAACGTTATGCTTGCAGATAGGACCAGCCTTCTCAATGAGTTGTGCCTAGTGTATTTTAAAACCAGTGTGAGCACTATTTAAATAGCAGCACTAGTTACTCCTGTTTATTCCACTGCCTCTGGGTAATTTAGAATCGTGGTATTTTCAAGCCTTGTGTGTGGTATTTGTAACATCTGAAGTTAAGGAAATGGTTCTCAGTGCAGAGATCTAAGAAAACTTGAGGAGATTTGGTGGTTTTGTTAAATAAACCTCTGTGTGTATGGATCATCCTTCCAAATGGATTTTGCAAGAACTTATTCAGTTTGATTTTCAAATCTGACTAAATGGTTGGAAATACCAGGAACTCTGTTAACTTCCCACTTCATCTTTGAGCAAGGAGGGGTTGGACGAGATGACTTTGACAAGTCCCTTCCAACCTAAATTATTGCATGAAATCTCAAAGTACTGAAAGAGGCCATTAGCACATCAGCTTTAAAGATCTTTTAAGGAAGAGGGAAACAAAGAAAAAAAAAGAAAAATAGAATTGTCTTTGATTTTTGTGGCATAAGCGTTCTTGTTTTTATGACTCACACTGTACTAGTAGCTGTAACTAAATGCAAGTGTGAGTGGCATCTCACATTAACATAGTTGAATGGCCAATTGCACTTGATACACTCCAAAAATTTTGGGCTTTTTTCAGGAGTGGAGGGCAAGGGGTTCCACTTTTTAAGAGTTTATGTGTGTTTTGTATGATGTACGTTACTAAAAAAATTTATTTCTGCTGGCAGACACCTTTTTCACTGGCAGCAGCACAGGAGTTACTTCCCTTTAGTACTGGGGAAATACTGTTGAAATTGATGCTGTTGTACTGGTATGAAATGAATTTTGTGTTCTGTCCTGCAGGGCGGTCCTTGAAGATGATCCGTACAGTCGAATGAAGCAAGTTTTGAGGTGGTACCTGTCCGGCTTCTATAAGAAGCCAAAGGTAAAAAGAATGCATGAAGTTGGGGTTGTAACGGGTGTGAAAATCTTCTGCTATGGTTGTGTATTTCTTTATTCCTTTCCTTTGACACTTTAGAGGATTTTGACCATTGCTTTTAAAACTGAAGTTGTGTTTGGTTTCAGAGTAGATACGGAGTGCAAAATAGTGTTGATCAACCTCAGAGCCTTTGCACTTGACAGTTAGAAGGCAAAACTAGTCATCAAAAAGTGACATGTCCTCAGATGCAAGATTTTTCCCTAC